ATGGCATCTGTGCAGGACCGCCCTTTCCTGAAACCGCATTGGGGCTCCGCAAGCCTCTCCTCAGAGTGCCTGGCAAGGCGATGTTGAATAATCCTTGCCAGGACCTTTCCCGGCACACTGAGGAGTGAGATGCCCCTGTAGTTGTTACAGTATGTGCGGTCCCCCTTCTTAAAGAGGGGGACCACCAGGGCATCCTTCCAATCCTGTGGAACCCGTCCAGTGTTCCAGACTGTTGTTATGATGTCATATAGGGCAGTCTGTGCACAAACGCCACCCTCCCTCAGCATTTCGCTTGGGAGATCATCTCTGCCCGCTGCCTTTCCTGGTCTCAGACTCCGGATCGCCTTCAATACTTCCTCAGCAGATGGCACCTCAGCCAGCCACTCACAGGGGGTGACTTCTTCCAATATTTGAGGCACCACAGCCTCAGCAGGGTCATCCCCACTTTGTGCCACGATGTTTTCCTGGCTGAGGGATTTCCCCTCCCCCCAGGACCTCACAGAAATGCTCAGCACTACAAAGAAAAAGATAAAGATCCCCCGTATAGCCTTAACAGACTGTAGGGGCAAGTGCTGTTAGCGAGCACCTATGAAGGCACTACAAACAAAGACAAAGATCCCCCATATAGCCTTAACAGACTGTTGGGGCAAGTGCTGTTAGCGAGCACCTATGAAGGCCGGAACGGTACACGAGGGGGTGGGTGGCCAGCACCACGCCCGACCGCCTTTGTCTCCCTAGTGGCAATGTTTACACACCGCACCAGGTACTCATTTGAGGCTGAGTCGACCTAGGGGAGGCCCGGGACCGGTTCAGATAATCGTCACTGGTGTTGGCCGTGAGCGGGAATCGAACCCGGGTCGCCAGGTTCATAGCGCAGCGTAGCGCTAACCGCTACACACACAGTGACACAAACACACAGTGACACACACACACAGTGACTCACACACACACACAGACACACACACAGACACACACACAGTGACACACACACACACAGTGACACAAACACACAGTGACACACACACACAGTGACTCACACACACACACAGACACACACACAGACACACACACAGACACAGTGACACACACACACACAGTGACACAAACACACAGTGACACACACACACAGTGACTCACACACACACACACAAACACACACACAGACACACACACAGTGACACACACACACACAGTGACACAAACACACAGTGACACACACACACAGTGACTCACACACACACACAGACACACACACAGACACACACACAGTGACACACACACACACAGTGACACAAACACACAGTGACACACACACACAGTGACTCAGACACACACACAGACACACACACAGACACACACACAGACACAGTGTAGAGTGTGTGTTGAGTGTTCGTGCATGAATATTTGTAGTCTCTAATGGAAGCTTTCGAGTGCCTATGAGTCTCTGTATATTTGTTGGGTCTCTATGAGTCGCTATGGGTGTCTATGGGTGTCTATGGGTCTCTATGGGTCTCTATGGGTGTCTATGGGTCTCTATGGGTCTCTATGAGTCGCTATGAGTCGCTATGGGTATCTATGGGTGTCTATGGGTCTCTATGGGTGTCTATGGGTCTCTATGGGTGTCTATGGGTCTCTATGGGTGTCTATGGGTGTCTATGGGTGTCTATGGGTGTCTATGGGTCTCTATGAGTCGCTATGGGTCAATATGAGTCTCTATGGGTGTCTATGGGTCTCTATGGGTGTCTATGGGTCTCTATGGGTCTCTATGGGTGTCTATGGGTGTCTATGGGTCTCTATGGGTGTCTATGGGTGACTATGAGTCTCTATGGGTGTCTATGGGTCTCTATGAGTCGTTATGGGTCTCTATGGGTATCTATGGGTCTCTATGGGTCTCTATGGGTGTCTATGGGTGTCTATGGGTCTCTATGAGTCTCTATGGGTGACTATGGGTCTCTATGAGTCTCTATGGGTGTCTATGAGTCTCTATGGGTGTTTATGAGTCTCTATGGGTCTCTATGGGTGTCTATGGGTGTCTATGAGTCTCTATGGGTGTCTATGGGTCTCTATGGGTCTCTATGGGTCTCTATGGGTGTCTATGGGTCTCTATGGGTCTCTATGAGTCGCTATGGGTGTCTATGGGTCTCTATGGGTGTCTATGGGTCTCTATGGGTCTCTATGGGTGTCTATGGGTCTCTATGGGTCTCTATGAGTCGCTATGGGTGTCTATGGGTGTCTATGGGTCTCTATGGGTCTCTATGGGTGTCTATGGGTCTCTATGAGTCTCTATGAGTCGCTATGGGTATCTATGGGTGTCTATGGGTGTCTATGAGTCTCTATGGGTGTCTATGGGTCTCTGTGAGTCTCTATGGGTGTCTATGGATCTGTATGGGTGTCTATGGGTGTCTATGGGTGTCTATGGATCTGTATGGGTGTCTATGGGTGTCTATGAGTCTCTATGGGTCTCTATGGGTGTCTATGGCTGTCTATGGGTCTCTATGGG